CCGTTCATCGGCGGCAAGCCACGGCGAGTCTTGGCGGAGATCCGGGTAGGAGTTGAAGCTCCTGAGCCTGTTATACGACTTATACGGCGTGAGATCAGAATCCTCGTACCATTGTGGCGGTGTTGGGGGGTTTGGTTTGTCGTACTCGTGTGGCGTGTCGGAGAAGCCTTCGCCGGTGTTCTTGCCGAGGAAGCCGCAGAGAATGGCGAAGAGGATAAGAAGCAAGTTGAGAGAGTCCCAACTCTTCTTCACCGAATTGGGTTTCAAAATGTTTGTGGCGAAAGAGTGCAACGTGGGAATGATGACCAACGTGAATGCAAGTGCGATCACCAGAATGCATATCAGAAGTGCCCCGGAGCTGAGGAACAGGGAGTAGGAACGGCGGAGGCGGCGGCGCCCGCCCCCGTTTTCCGTCCAGAAGGGTGGCGACGCATCTTCTTCCTCCTCCATTTGGTTTGAGACGTAACGTGTTTTCCAAGTTGGTGTGGACGAAAACGGTGTTTTTAATTCTCCAACACGATTGCTTTGGTTCATTCACCTTTCTGTGCTCTTCTCTTTGCTTGCTTCCTTATATAGACGTCATATAATATATATATATTTTTTATTTTATTTTATACTAATTTTACATTCTTTTTATAATTTTATGAAGAAATTAAAATACAAAATGCAATTTCTTCTGTTTATAACTAAGAACCTGTTGGCAATTCAGTGTTGTTGGCTGTGTTGCGGGAATGACAGGCGAATAGAAAAATGTTGTAAATCTATGCTATGCATGTGCACTTGAAATCGTCAAATTAAGACCAAAAACATTATTTTCATTTCATACTTGCAAACTATTACAAAGGACTAATCATTGGACTAACTCAATTCATGCCATATCACGTACTCACGTTACCTATCCATCAAGTTCATGATAATGTCATTGCGAATTTTCCGCATATGTTTTATTTTTTTAATTTTATTTTTTTGCATCACGCCCTGGACTTTGATATTAATATTGCACTTCCTGCTCTTACTTGTAAACATGACTTGCATGAAGATATTAAAATAAGTTGAGCTAGTCGTGGTATAAATAAAAAAGGAATAATTTAAATATAAAAAAATACAGTTTTTTTAACGAAAATAAATAAATAATTTCACTTATGCGCATCACAACAATATTAACAGTCATATCTTAATGTTAACGACAGAAATGAATGAGTTATTAAGTATAGAAACTAAAATTAATTTTTCATAATTTAAGTGACTAAAGTAATTAATAATTTATATATAATTGTAATTTGCAAGAGTAATTGAGGTTACATTTAAAAAGTATGGTATAGATTGTAGCAGACACTAGGTGGCCGTGCTTTCCGCGTTAGAGTCTCAACTCGTTGGATCTAAGGAAATTAATTTCGAGTGACGTAATTGCTTTAACATGGAAAGACAATGACAATTAACGAAAAACCTGAATAGGACTAATTAATGAGAAATGTTAATAACGTTGGAAAAACGTAAAAAAAAAACACAAGTGTAATATATAATCTTTGTTTTATGGCAATGGCAACATATGGACAGCTTGTGATTTTGTTGTTGGTGCTGATGAAAGAAACCAGCGTCTAATAAAATTGATGCCTGTTTTCAATTCTTTCGCCGCAAGCATTCACTTTGTGACGTTTTATTGCAATCTGTAGGGCATGTTTTCTGTATTTAGACATATCATTTAACTTTCTCTTTTAATTTATCCGGTTGGCCCTCCCTATGGGCTATGACCCTAAATACAAGCAACATTCTTTCGAATCTTCCTCTTTTTATTAAAAAAAAAATGAATTTTAATTATAATATATCAATCTAAAAAAATTTATGCTGTTATTTAATATAAATTATTGTATATATCATATTATTATTTTTATGATTATTATGTAAAAGATATATTTATAACAATTTTTTTAATTTGATTGACAATATATGTTATATTATCAGTATATAAAATTACACCTTGAAAATTTATTCAAAGGAAAATGTTTCTTGTACATTTTTAATATTATATATAATAATAATCATAAAAATAATAAT